CTACTACTACTACTACTAATGCTGAACCACAAGAAACCACCAAGAGGGTCAAGACAGTTCAAGTAGAGTCAACCCTATACAAATACCGCCACCCTCAATGCCTGAAGCCTCAAAACCTAAACACCACCGAATAGACTCTGCCCGGGAACGAGGATCCTCAGCAATAGACCAGAAAAAATCAGGAACCCCTGATCAGGCCCCTCCACAGGACATTAATCAAACAAGCAGATAGAGAGTTGGAGGCTGTGTGAACTCCTGTGACGATGGCATTGAAACCCTAAGGCCCTAAGCCCAACACCCTATACGTTTCTCTAAAACCCTATAAAGCCCTCTATTCCTCTACACCCCGAATCCCCTAAACCGTAAACCCTAAACCCTATAATTTTGTAAACCCCTAAACCCTCACCCCTTAAACCCTATTTCTAAACCCCTAAACCCTAAACACTAAAGCCCTATATTCTTCTACGCCCCTAAACCCTAAACCCTCTAAAACCCTAAAGCCCTATCTTCTTCTAAACCCCTAAACCCTGTATTCCCTATAGCCGGGATGAGGCTTGCGAAGCTGCGGAGCGAGGGAGACCAGGCGAGGCCCGAGCAGGGCTGCGTGGTGCGGCTGTGCCTTTGGCTCTGACTTTGAGAATTTTTCGGGGTTTCAGGGTTTCGGGCATTTAGGGAGGACCAAGGGGTTTGGGGCATTTAGGGAGGACCAAGGGGTTTGGGGCATTTAGGGAGGCCCTAGGGGTTTAGGGCATTTAGGGAGGACCTAGGGGTTTTAGGGCATTTAGGGAGGACCTAGGGGTTTAGGGCATTTAGGGAGGACCTAGGGGTTTTTAGGGCATTTAGGGAGGACCTGGGGGTTTTAGGGCATTTAGGGCTGAGGGTTCAGGGTTTGAGGGAAAATGAGGCTTAGGGTTTTTAAGGGAGTATGGGGTTTACGGCTTAGGGTTTAGGACTCGTAGGGGCCATTGCAATTTCAAGAGGGCTTTGTGCTCCTTTCTAATATAACTAAAAGGAGCCCTAAGGAATAACATTGGTAATTATTTACGGTTTTACATATGCTCCTCTATATGGATCGTTATCAGCGTTTGTCATCAGGGTTTCATAGGGGTTCAAGGGATTTAGAACTAAGGGTGAGGGGTAGAGCTTCCTTGAAACCTTTTAAGAGCATAAGGCTCGTAGCGAACCGCAGGGCAAGCATCATCAACATCTGGTGATCTTCGCGGCAGTGATAGCGAATCAAACCCGGATATAGCGAGGGCGTAGGCGAGCATCACCAGCATCAGCTGGATTTCCTGTCAATCTCTCTCTTCGATTTCCCTGCTTCTGAAACTACAGCAGGAGTAGCAATTCGACCCAATGATTGGACGGATTTGGCGAGGGCGCGGGGCTAGCATCAGCAGTATGTCCTTTCCTTTTCTCTCTTCGATTTCCTTTCTTTTCACACTACAGCAGGCGTAGCCATTCGACCCAATGATTGGACAGATTTAGCGAGGGCGTGGGGCGAGCATCATCAGCATCAGCACCGTTTCCTTTCAAACTCTCTCTTCGATTTTCCCATTTCTGACACTACAGCAGGCGTAGCAGTTCAAACCGATGATTGGACAGATTTAGCGAGGGCACGGGGCGAGCATCAGCAGCATCAGCAAGAACTCGTTTCAAAATCTTTGTTTGATTTCCCTGCTTCTGAGACTACAGCAGGAGTAGCAATTCGACCCAATGATTGGATGGATTTGACGAGGGCGCGGGGCGAGCATCATCAGCATCAGCACCGTTTCCTTTCAAAATCTCTGTTTGATTTCCCTGCTTCTGACACTATAGCAGGCGTAGTAGTTCAAACCAATGATTGGACAGATTTGTGAGGGCACGGGGCGAGCACCATCAGCATCAACAAGAGTTCCTTTTAAAATCGCTGTTTGATTTCCCTGCTTCTGAAACGACAGCAGGAGAAGCAAATCGACCTAATGATTGATTGGACGGATTTGACGAGGGCGCGCGGCGAGCATCATCAGCATCAGCACCGTTTCCTTTCAAACTCTGTCTTCGATTTCCCATTTCTGACACTACAGCAGGCGTTGCACCGGGCGAGCATCATCAGCATCAGCACCGTTTGCTTTCAAAATCTCAGTTTGATTTCCCTGCTTCTGAAACTACAGCAGGAGTAGCAATTCGACCCAATGATTGGTAGCACCGGGCGAGCATCATCAGCATCAGCACCGTTTGCTTTCAATATCTCTGTTTGATATCCCGATGGATTTGGCGAGGGCGCGGGGCGACCATCATCAGCATCAGCACCGTTTCCTTTCAAACTCTCTCTTCGATTTCCCACTTCTGACACTACAGCAGGCGTAGCAGTTCAAACC